GAGGCGCATGGGCGCTTGTCACTTGGCGCAGCCAAGACCACGGGGCCGACCATGGCGCTAGGCTTTGTGATGCTTGCTAGGCCGTCATGGGGCGCGGCCAAGGGTTCATGGTACATGTGTGGAAAGCGGCCCATGACAATAAGTATGGAAAACTGAGCTTTCCAGGTGGCAAAATTGTGGTTGCCACTAAGTTTGATAGGTAATTGGGAGGCGGGATTGAATTGAACTATGGTATTGCTACCAGTGGTTTTGTCTGCATTAACAACTCTGAGATTATTTCCATTGTTTGCCATTGAAAAGGGAATTTGGTGTAGAGAAAAAAATTGATCGTACTCGTTAGAGCTGTATAGGCTCAGATACCATATAAAGACTTAAGAGCTGATGGAAAAACTCTGTACTGTATTGAATAAGAAGCTGATTATATATACAAGTTTTACCTAAGAATACTCCTCGTATTAGGAGACTTATTCAACGTAAAGTCTATCAAAATAAACTAACTGATGTTAGCACGTGATTTTTGCCCTATATATATGAATTACTCCCAAAAAATTCAAAATAAAATAGTTTTGGGTTGTTTACAATTTTTATGCATTTTGTGTCATTTTTCCTTTATTGTTCGCATTTATCTGTGCATGTTTGTTTGTTAAATTAATAAAAAAATATAAAAATATGTCGCATTTTGCATTTAGGATTCAATTTTACAATTAGGGGTAATTAAGTTTGTTTTACAAAAATAAAAAATCATAAAATAGGCATCTTTTGCATTTTTAGCATTTAATGTCAAATTGTGCAATTTTATGTTTATTGGTATTTAATTGTGTATGATAATTATTGTTAGAAGTTAATTAGTATTTTTAAGTTAATTTAGTTTATAACTTAATTTAGAATTTTAGTTTTATTAATTAAAAGAAAAGAGAGCAAAAGAAGAAGAAGAACAAACTCGGATTGCGCCAATTTTCGGAATTAAAATTAGGCCCAAAACAATACCAAGCCCACACCTCATGACCCGTTCAAGACCCGACCCATTCCCATACAATAAGCAAAAGAAAACTTAGACCTAACCATTCTTCTTCAGCCGCAACAGCACAAACCCCCCTACTCATCTTCTTCGACCAACCCCGCTGCCCCATGCCCATCGTTGACCACCCTTCCTCTGTCAACGAGCAGCCATCACATCCACCCTTCACCACCAAGCAGCGTCCCCATCGTCGCATCTATCTCCAGCAGCCATGGTTGCTGCTTCTTCTTCTTCGTTCCAGCGACGTCGAGCAACAGCTCCTTAAACCGTCGTCCAAACAGCTGCTGCGTCGACCAGCCTCCAGCGACGTCCCAAACAACCACCGTCTCCTCCACCTCACTCTAGCCCTCGTCCATCTCCACCCAGCGTCGTTCATGGTGGTTCTGTGGTGAGAAGCTTCCATCTGCGTCGTTCTTCATCATCTTCATCTTCCAAAACAAGGAAGCTCAACCCAACTTCGTCAACTCACCCCTCACGACCACTGCCATCTCCGAGCTAGCCCACGACCACTTCCCCACTGTCATACCATGTCCAGGGACGGACAACCTGCTTCATCTTCCGATTTTTGTTCCAAAATGGAGATTGTAACACTCCTCAAATCTATAGAAGTTTCAAGACCCGCTAAATATAGAAGTTAATTTTTATAAATCTTAAATTATACTTTTACTACAAATAAAAAAAATCCTTATGATTGATTTTGAGTTACTTCCCTATTTATAAATAGTTGGAGCAGCTAGCAATAGTACCTTTTTCGGACAAGATACAAATTGACAAAGCAGAGACAACTGTGGCGAAACATACAAGATGAACAAATTTGATAACTACAAGACAAAGAGCAGATAAGCCTTTCTTAGAACAAAACAATCTTAAACACAGGCATCAGGTTTTAGTAGGAGATAGTCTTCAACGGCTTTGTTTATAGCCAAGACCTTCTCCTTTCCTGCTTTGATTTCAGCTGACTGCTCAAACTTCACATCTTATTTGTTTACTCAAGGTTGTTAAACAAGGCAACATCTTCGATCAATGTGCATTTGTATGTGTACGTCTCCTCGTTAAGCTCATTAACATGATACTTTATGGACATAAAATTGCTGCATACGCACACAAAAGAAGAAAAAATACCAGAGTTATCATTTTATCTTCATAAATATTAGTATCTACTAAGCACATCTCAAGAAAATCGAACTCGGTATTCAGAAAACAACCAAACTATGCTCAATATAAAGTTTTCATATTTCAGTGATCAGTAAAGGGAAATCAAGAAAACAAATGTCAAGCATTGTGGGGCAAGTCATTCATTACACAGGTAGGATGATTGTTTCACTCCATTTCTTATACATAATGTAAACTTTCTTGGTTTCCTTTTTTTCGCTCATTTTCTTTTTGAGAATTTTGGTAGTAATTTTGAGCTAATGATGATGTGTTTTTACAGCTGCTAATGTTGGTGTTTTTACAGCTTTCCTCCGTTATACTGATATCTACTTCTGCGAAGGAAAGGTAATAAAAAACTGGTCACAGTCTAAAAAACTTTCCTACTTTCCAGCAAATGCCACAATCTGTTTGGGTCGATTTTTTCTCTCAACTCCTTCGCAAATTGTAGGAGCAAAACTCAGTATTTCTTGGACATGAAGTATCAGTGTATGTTATTTCAGTTGATTGATTCATTGATCGTCTCTAAAACCAAAAAAAGGGTACTAAACAGATTTTGTTGTTTTATTGGTTTTGATTTTGTGAATATTTAGGATTGTGGAGAGTGCTCACGCCAAATTAGAAGAATGCTCAAGTGTGGTTACATTTTGACTGGGAGCTTTAGGCCTTGCTGTGAGTCTCCGTATTGCAAAAATGAGACTGCAATATATGTATATATATATCCCTTAATTGGGTGGGAAGTACTATTTTGTAACCTTTGTTGATGACTTTTCCCGAAGAGTATGGGTGTATACAATGAAGAGCAAAGATGAAGTGCTGGAAATTTTTCTCAAATGGAAGACGGTGGTGGAGAATCAAACAGGCAGGAGGATCAAGTGTATTCTCACAGACAATGGAGGTGAATACAAAAATAATCATTTCAATAAGGTCTGTGAAAATGATGGCATCGTCCGACACTTCACTGTTAGACATACACCACAACAGAATGGAGTGGCAGAACGTATGAACCGGACCTTGCTGGAGAAGGTACGGTGTATGTTGTCCAATGCTGGCTTGGGCAAAGAATTTTGGGCTGAGGCAATTACATATGCATGNACGCATGAACCGGATCTTGCTGGAGAAGGTACGGTGTATGTTGTCCAATGCTGGCTTGGACAAAGAATTTTGGGCTGAGGCAATTACATATGCATGCCACCTCATTAATCGTCTACCATCTGCTTCTATTGATGTCAAGACACCATTTGAAAAATGGTATGGAAAGTCTGTTGTAGATTTTGACTCTTTGCACGTGTTTGGCTCAACTGCATATTATCATGTGACAAAGTCAAAATTGGATCCAAGGGCAAAGAAGGCTATTTTTATGGGGATTACTTCTGGAGTCAAATGATGTCGCTTATGGTGTCCTATGACAAAGAAAGTAATATTCTGCAGGGATGTTACCTTCGATGAATCTGCTATGGTAAATAAGGTAACAAGTGGAGATACCAAACAAGATGATGGTGCTTCTAAGTAGGTGAAGTTTGAGGGAAAATTTATTTTTCCTACACAAGAAGCAGAGGGGGAAACAAATGAAGATTACCCTCTGGATGGAGAGCCAGTATAGGAGATTCCAACTCAGGAACCTCAACAACAACTTGAATCAATAGCAACCAGCAGGCCAAAAAGGACAATAGCAAAACATGTTCGTCTCATAGAGACAGTTGCTTGTGCGACCGCAATTGTAGCTGATGATGTTCCTACCAGTTATAAAGATGCAGTCCAAAGTTCGGAAGAAGATAAGTAGAGGATTGTCATGAATGATGAAATACAGTCCCTTCATCAGAATCACACATGGAGATTGGCCAATCTCCCGAAGGGAAAGAAAGCAATTGGGTGCAAATGGGTATTTGCAAAGAAGGAAGGATTTCCTAACCAAGTAGATGTTCGCTACAAAGCAAGATTGGTGGCCAAAGGATATGCTCAAAAGGAGGGAATTGATTACAATGAAGTGTTTTCTCCAGTTGTAAAACATTCCTCCATTCGAATTATGTTGGCTTTGGTAGCACAGTTGGATTTGGAACTAGTTCGGATGGATGTAAAAACTGCATTTTTAAATGGAAACTTGGAGGAGGAAATCTACGTGACTCAGTCGGAAGGATTCAAAGTTGCTGGAAAGGAAGATATGGTGTGCAAACTTGAAAAATCGTTGTACAGATTGAAGCAATCTTCTAGACAATGGTACAAGCGATTTGACAAGTTTATGTTGCAGCAAGGGTACAAGAGAAGCAAATACGATCATTGTGTGTATTTGCACAGGCTTAAAGATGGTTCCTTTATATATCTTCTTCTCTATGTTGATGATATGTTAATAGCTTCCAAGAATTCGGAAGAAATTGATAAGTTGAAGATTCAACTGAAGAAGGAGTTCGAGATGAAGGATCTGGGTGAGGCAAAGAAAATTCTTGGCATGGAGATAATAAGAGATAGACGTTCAAAGAAACTCTGTTTATCTTAGAAAGAATATTTGAAGAGAGTACTACAATATTTTCGCATAGATGACAAGACTAAGTCAGTTAGTACTCCATTTGCTCCTCATTTTAAGTTGAGTACTACTATGTCGCCAATGGATGAAACTCAACGAGAGTTTATGTCAAAGGTACCATACGCAAATGTTGTTGGTAGCTTGATGTATGCAATGGTTTGTACGAGAACTGACATTTCACAAGCTGTTGTAGTAATTAGCAAGTATATGCATAATCCAGGAAAGGAGCATTGGCAAGCTGTAAAGTGGATTCTACGGTATATTCATAATAGTGTAGATGTTGGGTTAGTTTTTGAGCAGGAAGATAATCAATCTGTAGTTGGATATTGTGACTCAGATTTTGCGGGTGATCTGGACAAACGAAGATCAACTACTGGTTATGTGTTTACTTTTGCAAAGGCACCAGTTAGTTGGAAGTCTACTTTGCAGTCAACAGTTGCTTTGTCTACAACAGAGGCAGAGTACATGGCTATTACAGATGCTGTGAAAGAGGCAATTTGGCTTCAAGGATTGCTAAAGGAGCTTGGTGTTGAAAAGCTTGGTGTTGAACAAAAGGATATCACAATTTTTTGTGATAGTCAAGCGAAGAACCAAGTTTATCATGCAAGGACGAAGCACATTGATGTTCGGTATCATTTCGTACGAGAAATCATAGAAGAAGGTGGAGTCACGGTGAAGAAAATTCATACTACGGAGAATCCTGCTGATATGCTGGCAAAAGTGGTGACTGCGATCAAGTTTCAACATTGTTTGGATTTGATCAACATTGTTGAACACTGAAGATTAAAGATGAAGATACAACCAAAATTTATTATAGAGAGAAAATTAAATATGTGGAATTTTTTGTGAAGGTGTAGATTTGTTGACCTTTTTGGCAACAAATTTATCCCACATCGGTGGGTTCTTGAAGTTGGGGGGGATTTTCTCCTATAAAAGAAGGCTCAATGTTTAGGGTTTAAACACACCTCTCATTTGCCTTCTTATCTATTTAAGACATTTGTATCTTCTCTCTTTAATATTATTTCACTTGTATTTTTGGAGTGAAATAAAATATTTGGTTGTGTCCTAGGAGTAGGCTAAATTGGCCGAACCTTGTTAAATTCTGGTGTTCCCTTTTATTGCTGCTTTATTGTCTTATTTATTATTTAGTGGATGCCATATTTTTGGTATAGTAGTTGTGACTTATTCACACTGTATACTTTTGGCTTCCGCAACAGAGTGTACACTCGATTCTGATATCTTGAATGTTTTAGTACAGAGGTGTCCTAATCTTGAAGAACTTGAAATCTTTTTTTTTGTGTGAATATGGGATAAATATTGATGAAGAAAAGATTTGTCTCAAATTGGAGAGTCTTACCCAGCTTCAAATACTTCACCTTATCTTTCGCTCGTTCCATGTTGTACCCAAGTTACACTTTCCGTCAAATATAAAGAATTTGGTACTATGAGTTGTTCGGATGGAAAAAACGATTTTCTCCATTGCAGGACTACCAAGTCTGGAGTCTCTCCAATTAGGGGATCCGTGTTTTTTAATTCCAAAGAGTGGTACCTTGGAGATAGGGGTGGAAAAATGGTTCAAAGAAAATAGTTAACCACCCATATTATCCACTAAAAATGTGTTGGATAATGAATATTTTAAAAACGGGTCAAATATGGATAAGAATCATATTATCCATTTAGAAAATGGGTAATCCATGAGTAACCAATGGATCTAACTTTTACATTTGTAAAACATCAAATTGGGGATTCCTCAAGTTAGGGAGATTAAGAATTCTCCCAAAAGTGATCATATACAAGAAGTCATGGATAATATGGGTAACCCATATTATCCGCCGGTTAACCCGTTTTTTATCCGTATTAAATATGGGTCGGTCGGATAATTGATCCGTTTTTTATTACCCGTTTTCGACCCGAACCATATCCGACCCGACCTGCCCGTTTGCCACTCCTACTTGGAGATATCACGTTCCAGAAACTGAAGTTGTTGAAACTGAAATCCTTAAATATCTCAAGGTGGGAAGCCTCAGACGATTCTTTTCCCCAGCTTGAAACTCTTGTTATAATAAGGTGTGAATATTTTGAGGAGATCCCCCTTAGCTTTGCATATATTCCGACGCTGAAACAGATTAAGTTGAAGTTGTGCAGCAACAAATCTCTGGTGGCTTCAGCTTTGAGAATTAAGGAAGAAGTTAAAGAGAATGAAGGATGCGACCGTATTGACCTCATTATTGATGTAAGTAGAAACAAACTCCAATGTGTTGTTTTTGTGTCTTAATTCGTATCTAATGTGCAAACAATATATATGTTCAATACAGGATGGTCGTGGAAATATCCAGAAGCTGTGAGTCACAATGTGCTTAGGCAACTGCAGCAAAAGCACAGAGAGAGCGGATGGAGTTCATTCTTAGCGAATTGCTGTAGTCATGATCTCGTGCTGGGGTGTATTATGCAGCTAGTAATCAGAAGTAATGTTGGTGATGTTACATACGTGTGCCACGTTTCAAGTATGAGTTTGCTTGGGCAACGAGCAAGTGTGCAATATAAAGTTATAGACTATTGTGGTCATTCTCCCTTTTTAAAAATGATTTGTGAAGTTGTTCCTCTGGAAAGATTGTCTTATGGTCTTCCACTTTGCTTTTGTAGTTTGGTGGTTGTTTCCCCTTTAATTTCTATAATCCCTTCCTTCATCTTACACCTTCTATGAGGATGTGAGCCTATACAAAAAATTGTAAGCGTAATACGAAGCCTAGCTGTTCAAAAGCTGATTTTGATAGGCGCAAGGCCTTTGATTTAGGCTCATTTTTTAAATATGTCATCTTGAACATTTGATCACTTTGTGCTTCTAGGAAAGCCCTGATAAAGGAAGATTATATTAAATAGGCATTGTTCAGCTTCAGGAAATACAGCATATTTGGAAGTCAAACCAGATTAGCCTCAGTCATCTAACTTCTTTTACTAACTCCACATGAATTGAATCAGTAAGTTTGTTTCACCGGGATGGTAAGAAAGAAGGTAAAGGAGCAGCACTCAGTGTATCCTTATCAACATTAGTTTCTACAGGATGGTGCCTTGACCTGGAATTAGTTACTTGAAAAATCAAGTAATTAGGTTGTTTGAGTAGATCCAATCTTAATTCACTTGTATATATAAGCACTGCCCTGGCTGCTTAACTTAACATTAAAAAAATGAAAGTTCGTCCTAAAGATCCTCTACGCTTTCCTCCGCTATACTGATATCTACTTCTGGGAAGCAAAGGTAATAAAAAATTCTCCTACTTTCCAGCAATACCACAATCTAGGCCGATTTTTTCTCTCAACTCCTTCGGAAATTGTAGGAGCAAAACTCAGTCTTTCCTCTTATTCTTGGACATGAAGCATCAGTGTATGTTATTTCAATTGATTGATTCATTGATCCTCTCAAAAACCAAAAAGATTACTAAATAGATTTTGTTGTTTTATTGGTTTTGATTATATGGATATTTAGGATTGTGGAGGGGGAGTAACAGAACTTGCTCTCGGAGACCATGTCATTCATGTGCTCACTGCAAATCAGAAAAAGCAATATGTACAGCCTCTTACAGATTAACAATGACAGGAAAGTAATGATTCGTGATGGACAACCAAGGTTCTCCGTCAACAGAAAGCCCCATATACCATTTTGTTGGCAGTGTTGCGAAATTCAACCCTCCTTGCTTCTTTTCACAAAGTCGGTGTTTGTATCCTCGGAGAAACGGTGATAAATTCATGTCCTCACTGCAAACGATTAATCGGATACTTCATTCTTCACCTTGGTGCAACTATGAGTGTAGCTAAACCAGCAAAAAGGTCAAGTGTGGCTACATTTTGACTGGGAGCTGTTGGCCTTGCTGTGAGCCTCCATATTGCTGAGATCTATCTTTTTTCTGTTTAGTTTAAGGAACATGAATTTGAGAAGTTGCAGATTCATGATAATGGAAAACAAAATGCAGCAACCATAAATGAGGCTGCAATATATCTAGCAATAAAGGATTTGATGCCTCTGTCCAACCAATGAAGTGACAGAGGATCTTTACATTTGATATAATATCATCTTGTAATTCAATGTCAATAACTTTAACCAAACTGTTGAAACACATATCGATTGATCAAAGCCCAAGTCAGTTAGGTGCATCATAAAGTACTGTTTAAGCAAGAAACTCATTGAACTCCAGATGAATGCAAAACTAACCTTAATGTGGAAAGGCTAGTATCACATTTGCTGGAATTCATTGGAGGTAATGTGTAACGACCCGGCCGGTCATTTCGAGAATTTACGCCCCGATCCCCTATTAACTGCTTTCCCCGTGTTTATTTCTGCTATTGTGATTTGCCGAGAAGATTAGTTTTGAGTTTCAGAGTGTTTTGGGACACTTAGTCCCCAAATGAGAGTTTAAGCTTTAGAATTTGGACCGTAGTTGGAATAGTGTGAAGACGGCCTCGAAATGGAATTCCGTCGATTCCGTTAGCTCCATTCGGTGATTGCGGGCATAGGGGCGTGTTCGGATTGTGTTTTGGAGGTCCGTAGCTCATTTAGACTTGAAATGCCGAAAGTTGAATTTTTGAAGTTTTCGCATCGATAGTGAGATTTTGATATCAGGGTCCGCATTCGATTCCGAAAGTTGGAATAGTTCCTTAGTGATGAATGTGACTTGTGTGCAAAATTTGAGGTCAATCGGACATTCGGCGTCGGTTGTTGAATTCTTGAGATGTCAAGTTCATTAGGCTTGGATTGGAGGGTGATTCGTGATTTTAGCGTTGTTCGATGTGATTTGAGGGTTAGACTGAATTCGTATGATGTTTTAGGATTGGTTGGTATGTTTGGTTAAGGTCCCGAGGGCCTCGGGTGAATTTCGGATGCTTAACGCAATTGAATTTGGACTTAGGCAACTTCTCAAACTTTGCTCAACCTGTTGTTTTCGCACCTGCGGATATTGGACCACAGGTGCGGCGCCGCAGGAGCGGCTTGGCAACAGCAGATGCGGTCTGAGACTTGAAGGCTGTTGGTCGGAGATGCGGCTCAAGGACCGTAGAAGCGGGAGTGCATCTGTGAGGAATGGAGCGCAGGTGCGGCGCCCGGTGTTTAATGATATTTCGCAGGTGCGGTTCCCCAGCCGCAGAAGCGGGACCGCAGAAGCATCCCCTTGACCGCAGATGCGGTAATCGATGGGCAGAAATATGAACATCTAATTTTAAGGGGAAAAATTGAATATCTAATACAAGTTGATAATGAAATTTCATGAATTTGCTACACAGACGTGGAAACATCTGCCAAATGATGCCCATATCATATAGATAAAGATGCAGTCTCTTTCTATATAATCATACCCAGCCTGCTGAACATGAATATACAGACACAATGAAGATTTAAATTCATCTCAAAACAAAATGAATTCGACTGACCTTTTTCAACTTCACTGTGTGACGTTGCAATCAGCTGTTTTCGGGTAATGAGCTTGAGTTTGAAACTCTCGAGAGCTTGACTCTCTTTTTTCTTGTCTTATATTCCTGTTCCAAATTTGCTATCTGCATGCATTCTCGATCCATCTTCCTAATAGAGGTGGCAAACTGGCGGATCGGATCGAATAAAGGCGGGTCAAAACGGATAATGCAAGACGACCCGACCATATTTAATAAGGATAAAAATGAGACTTTTTAAATATGATCACTTTTGGGAGAATTCCTAGTCTCTAAAACATGAGGAACCCCCAATTTGAGGATATACAAATGTAAAAGTTAAACACATTAGTTATCCATCTTCTAAGTGCGTAATATGGTTCATGCCCATACTTGATCCATTTTTAGAAAGTTCATTATCCTAATGGATAATATGGATGGATAACTGTTTTCTTTTATCCATTTTGCCACCACTACTTCGCGGTGATAGATTTTGCATATTTGATCGACTTGTTTGTGTTCCCCAGAGCTTGAAGGCTACGAACATCAGCCAACTCAATTAGTACAGCCTCAAGCTCATCATAGAATTTAACGGTAAATTTCACAAATGGCCATATAACTATGACTTTTTTTTCACCAAAGTCATATAACTTTGTTTCCTCACACAAAAATCATATAACTATGACTTTTTTTAACCAAAGTCATATAACTATATTTTCTCACAGAAAAATCATACAACTTTTAATAAGGCTCACAAAAATCATAGTGATCGAAAAATATAATTTTTTAGTAGTGTTTTTCAATCTTGTGTTTTTTTTTCAATCTAATAAATAATAATCCACTTAAAATAGGGATGACCCAACCCGACCTGGCTCACCCGACACAATACACATATATATTAATTAAAATTAATACTAAAAATGAATAGTAAATCCTTCAAAACATGATACTTCTTTCTTTATTTTATTTTTCATGATTTTTATTCAAATTGATAACATCTTTATTTCAAATGCTCTCTAATTATACTTTTTTTTCTTTTCAGAATGTCATGCATTCCGAATTAAGTTTTTTATGGGGGAAGAATTCGGTTTTAGTATTATTTTAACTTACGTATAAGGGTATTAGGTCAGGCTGGGTTGAATCAATCCTATTTTAAGGGAAAAACTGGCCGATCGGATCGAATACAGGCGGGTCAAAATGGATAATGCAAAACGACCCAACCATATTTAGTAAGGATAAAAATGAGACTTTTTGAATATGATCACTTTTGGGAGTTTTTCGATCACTATGATTTTTGTGTGAGTTAGTGAAAGTTTTATGATTTTTGTGTGAGAAAACAAAGTTATATAACTTTAGTGAAAAAAACTCATATTTATATGATTTTTGTGTGAGAAAATAAAGTTATATGACTTTACTGAAAAAAAAGTCATAGTTATATGATTTTTGGGTGAGAAAACAAAATTATATGACTTTACTGAAAAAAAGTCATAGTTATATGACGATTTGTGAAATTTACCCTAGAATTTAACATGATAACTTCATATATATAACTCGCGGAACATTAATCTACCTTCGCAAAGAAATTTTAAAATAACACAGTATGATACGTAAGCATTAGCTCTCTTTCAAACCATAAGGGTCACTACTGTACAATGTATGAAGTATCCTGAATTAAGCTCCTGTTTGGTCATATATTTTAGCTTCAACTTTTACAATATTATTTGTTTATGAAATATGATCATGTTATTGGAGAAAAAATTTAAAAGATTTCAAGTTCGCAAAAACCGGTTTAGTGAAATTTTTTCTTATTCACAAAACACAGGGTCGACCCAAGGGTAAAGATGCTAAAGCAGCTGCCTTGGGCCTCATAATTTTTGGAGCCCCATATTTTCCTAAAATGTCATATATTAATTTAACTTTTAGAAGAATATTTAGTATTTTAAATGAGAAATTACAGATTTTTATTGTGAAAAGGTAAGATTAGATTATTTACCATATATATA